CTCCCTCGGCCCCCGGCCCTAAACCTCCCTCTGCCACTGCCGCCCGACCCACCTGGGTGCCAGGCGACTCCGCGGCTGCTGGGACTGCCGGGCTCCTCTGACCATCCGGCTCCGGCTCCGCCGAGGGAGCTGCTCCGGCGGCCGCAAGGCTCGCTCGGGATGCTGAGACGGCGGATGCTGGAGTAGGCGGAGAGACGGGAGGAGGGCCTCGCGCCTCGGCCGGGCTAGCCGCGGGGCCTGCCCCTATCCGCGCCCCTCCTGGGCTCCTATTGGCTGAAACTGCAGCGTGCCAGAAAGTCCGACTGCCGATTGGGCGCTCGGGCCTTCACGTCCCGCGCGGCTCACCCCGAGGTTTGGTTGAGACTGCAGGTGGCGGCAGAGGTGCCTTAAAGACTGCTAGCAGAGCGGGAGGAGCCCTGCGCGCCACCGTGCGCCACAAAGAGGGAATTGCAGTTCGTCGCCAAACATCTGCCTTCAGGTTCTTTGGCTCTGCATCCTGCATCCTAGACACCTACTAATTGCCCTGCTTCCGCACCGCCCCAGAACCCAAATCAAGTACTGCACGGTCTCCAAATACATCCAGAAGTTCGAGGGTAAAGCAGCTCTCCTTCATAGCGTCGTTCTGAATCACCTCGAATGCAGTCCCTGCCAACATTTTGCAGAAATGGCCTCGGCTTAGTGCTACCCTTCAAAGAGATGCAGCAATATAAAGTGGAAAGACCGTGAGCTTGGGTGGAAGCTTGTAAGAAAGCACGAGAATTTCTGTAATTATCACAAAAAAGAAATGGCATAGTAAAAAGAACCAATTGCAGTAACTACAAGAAATGTATTCCATTTTGAAAAGCATAAAAAGAACTGCTTCTTGTGTAAGCTAGCCATTTTGTGTCATTGCAGATAATTCAAAAATCTGTATCAGGTGATCAGTTTTAGTATAAAATCCACTGCATTTTGACAGACTGAAGTATGCAAAACTACCACCGTGTAAGTACAATAAGTATTAGTAGCCTATTCTACTCTCACAAAGCTATCTTTGAAAATATAGCAGATGTATATGTACTGCATCTTAAGAATATTTTGTGGGGGGTGGGGAGTGGGTTTCGAGACAGAGATTCTCTGTTTAGCCCTGGTTATCCTGGAACTCACTCAGTCCACCAGGCTGGCCTTGAACTCCAAGAGATATACCTCCTTCTGTTGCTTGAGAGCTGGGATTAAAGGCGTGAGCTACCATGTCCGGCGAAGAATGTATTTTTTAAAAAAATAATTTATTTAATTTTATTTTATCATTGGTGTGAAGGTATCAGATCCCCTGGAACTGGAGTTACAGTTGTAAACTGCCATGTGGGTGCCTGGGTGCCGGGAATTGAACCCAGGTCCATCTGGAAGAGCAGTCAGTGCTCTTAACCTCTGAGCCATCTCTCCAGCCCAGAAGAATATAATTTTAAAGATGAGTAATAACTGTACGTATTTATTCCTATGCAAAGTTGTCTGGCATATCCTAAACCCTAAATTCATTTCTTCCTGCTAGATATGGGAGGAGGCATAAAACTTTCTCTGAAGCCACTTTCATTTTATTAGAACACATTTTGTTAAAACACACAAACAAAAGCACTGGCAGAGATATGGCTCGCCAGAGTAAAAGGTGCTTGCTGTTCAAGTCTGACATTGTGAGTTCAATCCTGGAACCCAAAGAATAGACTCTCTAAGACTCTGACCTCCATGTGCACATGACAGACACACCTGCACACACAGCATATGACAGCAAATGAAAATGCATGAGGACAAATATCCCACAAATCTCCATATGGTGAGATACTAGTTTTTCACAGAACCAAATGTATATGGTGTAATGGGTTCTTCTTTATTCCTAGATGGTTCATCTTGTTATCCATCCTTGATGCTAAATGGCTTTCCTTTCATGAAATAATGGGATACAGCAAGTTGTAGTGGGATTTATTTTTTGCTTTGCTGAAGAGCTCTTATTACATTCAAGAGAGGGAGGTGGAGGGATGGGAGGAAGACAGTGAGTCATGTGGGGACATGTAGGGGAACAAAAGTCAACTTGTGGGAATCAGTGGTTCTCTCCTTTCATCATGTGGGTCCTAGGGGTTAGACTCAAGTCACTGAGCTACGCTGCTAAGCTTGCTGAGAATGTAGCCTAGGACCCCCAATATGTGCTCCTCCACAATTGCATTTCTAGGTGTCAGCTAATTGTTGGTCCTTCCTAAAATGTACCCTTCATGGTGTGTCCAAGTTCTATCATTTCAGCTTCTGTGCTCTTGTATAAAACATGCACATTCCATTACCCAGCCCATTATTTCATGCCTCCTCTTGCATCAACCAATTCCTCCAAATTTCTTGAACTTAGAAGGCTACACTGTTGGCTCAGTGGTTAAGAGCACTTGTTTACAGAGGACCTGGGTTTAGTTCTGGACCAACATGGTGACTTAAAATCATACTTAATCTGGTTCCAGGGGATATGATGCCCTCTTCTGAACTCCGCAATATGTAAATGCAGGCAAACAATCACACTAATAGAACAAATTCTTATTTTTAAGAAGCTATACTGTTAATAGCCATGTTTCACCCTGAGTTCCTCTTTCTAATAATACTGATTTGGTTGACTACTCAGGAAATAGCAGCTTTTGTGGGCATTTTGTGGGTGCTATTCATAAATATTTTAACCAACTTCATTATATTCCTTTTATAACAGAGAATTCAATTTGTTCAGAGTCTTAAAGATGCAAAACCCAATAATGCTTAAAACAGAAGGTTTGAGCAATCACTGTGTGCCCTCCAGGGGGTTCAATTTCCAGTTATCCTGTGTGACCTTGACAGGTTAGTAGTCCTTTCCAATCCCATTTCCTCATCTGAGGTAGGCAGGGGGTGGGGTGGGAGTAGGAGCAACTTAGAGATCCACACCAAGAGTACCACAAGATATAGGTTGGGCACGGTGATGTATGTTTTTAATCTTGGCACTTGGGAAGCAACACAAGGTGGATCTCTGGAAGGCCAGTATGTTGTACACGGCGAGAACCTGTCTCAAAATAACCAGTTCCCCCAACCCAGAAACAAACCAACCAACAAACAAAAAACAAAAAAAGGATCACAAAACAGGACATGTGCTGGCTGGGAATGTAGCTCAGTGGTAGATTGCTTACCTAGCATGCACAAGGTCTTGGGTTCATTCCTCAGCACTGCAATATAGGGCACGGTTAGCACTTACCTAAAATGCTTAATTACAGATTGAAAAAAAATTCCACTCACATTTATATACAAAATGCTGAGAACCATTATCAGGCACTCAGAGAATGGCATATACTATGCAATAAATGTTTTTGTATAAACTTCATACATTGCTGAATTAAGAACCATGTTATTAATCTAAACATAACCTTATTTTCATAAGAAAGGTACATATTCATGTGATGAAGGAAACTTTCATTATTCTAGGGGACTTCTCAAATGTTTCCTTTGGTTTTGATTACCACATCTTTCATTATCATTACCACACTATAAATACACAATTGACAAGAGTTGTGATGACCTCATGAAGCATGGTTCTGGGCATAGAATCTAGGTTGTAATAAACAGTGCTTTTAAGGAGCTGGAACACTTAGCCCATAGGCAAATGCAGGGGAAAAAAAGGTTAGTTCCATTTATCAGTCACACAACCAAGTGAAAGAGTAGGCATTTCTTTGAAAACATAAATTATATGAAATGCTACCTTCTCAAGGAATACTATAGACTGCAGTAGATAAAGTTATTTTTCACAAACTTCCTACAATCTTTTTATTAATTGACATCGAGGGGAATACAGCACCTTTCATTCAAAGAACTAGAGGCGCTTTACAAACATTAGCAATTAAAAAACAATGACATTAAAAAATCTGGATTCTTGCAGTTAAATATCAACTCTGTACACAATTTTCTAGAGGCTGAACAAAAGTGAATCTACTTCTGACAATGGCAGGATTTCACAGTACAGGCATTTTCCCAACACCTGGAGCTGGGTTTATAGAGCAAATACACACATTTCTTAAATGCAATGAACATTTTGAACCTTATTTCAAAAGCAAAATTCAGTGTTTAAGATGTCAAAAATTTCTAACAATTTTAGACATCCAGAAGAAACAGGAAATAATACAGGTTGCATATTAGATGTAGTCTTGATCAAGGCTTTTTAAGATCACGCCCAAGCGAAAATATTTAAAGAAGTGAGATTCTTCAGGGGGTTAGCCTTGATCTATTGAAAGCTAGCCAAAATCAGCTGTTGAGTGGTGGTGGTGCATGCGTTTAATTCCAACACTCGGGAGGCAGAGGCAGCTGGATCTCTGTGAATTTGGGGCCAGCCTGGTCTACAGAGTTCCAGGACAGGCTCCAAAGCTACACAAAGAAACCCTGCCTCAAAAAACCAAAACCCAAAAAAAAAAAAAAAAAAAAAAAGTCTATTAGCCAAATGAAGAAAGGGAGGAAATGGCAATTCAAAGTAGACAGTTCTCACTGGAGCCTAGGACACTTTATTAGAAACCAATTATATCACAGGCAAATAAAAATAGTTCTTAGCCCCATTGATACAACATAGGGTATTTTACATTCAGCCTAGATACAGGGAGTAGTAGCAGATCCCTAGCCTACAGATCTCTGGCTTGCAAGTATCTCCCACCACATGATTACTCTGTATAATACATAGCCCTTGTTTAGTAGAGATTCAAATACACTTTTTAAGCCTTGCAAGTTCCAATACATTCACTCTCTCTTTCCTTCACAAGTCTAATAGTAAAAACTACTTTTTTCATGCCTCAAAGCCATTATTCAGTTGAAGAAAAGTCAGGCAAAACAGAGATGGCAGTTAAGGGATGGACAGAACATTATTGGCACATACCCAGCTAGTGACAAACAAAAGCAGTACACCATGACTTGAAAATAAGTCACATTAAAGGAGAATGAAAACAGCCACATCAACCTAAGCTAAGGAGTGTGAAGTAGAAAGAGGGGACTGAGAGTTACTGATTTTACTGGTATAACTTAAAAGCAGTGGAGGGCAAGCACTTAACTATAATTTATGGTAACACAAACAAGAAACCACTGCAGAGAGCTGTTAAAAAAAAAAAAACAAAAAAGCACACCAAGATGTCTGCACCAT